ACCCTTCCCCCTCTCAACATGGAGGACCGCACACTTATCCGTCCCCAGCTCCATTCTAATAGAATTGCTAAATTCACAAGTGATGTTTAGCAATTCCATAAGATGGGAGCGACTGGAGGCGAATAACTTAAGGTCATCCATATAGAAAAAGGTGGGTCACTTTTGTCCCTCCTTTTCAAAGCTGAAATCCCCTCCCGGATCCCTCCAGTAAGGTACTGAGAGGGTTCAGGGAGAGGCAGAACCATATTGGACTCAGACAATCGCCCTGGAAGATACCCCTTCTTATCCTTATGTGGTTCTCCGCAGCCATCATCCGCTCACCCAGATGACAAAGGATCGTACTCCACTGCCCCATACACTGCTCGAGGAAGTCTCTCACTGTACAGTCTATCTTGTACAGCTCGAGGACTCTCTTTAGCCATGTATGGGGCACCGAGTCGAATGCCTTTCTGTAGTCTATCCAGGCGGCGGAGAAGTTCCGACGGTTGCGTTTCACCACTTTGTCAATGACCGCGTCAATGAGGAGTGGTTCCTTAGTTCCACGACCACCGCCCCGACATCCATTTTGAGCGCGTGACATCACCTGATTTAGCTCCAGGTGACGAGTGATTCTCGCGCTCAAAATGGATGTCAGTGTCTTATATATGGTGGGTAGACACGTAATGGGGCGGTATTTGCTCGGGTCTGTGGTAACCTGGTCTTTAGGAACCAAATGAGTGATCCCAGTAGTGAAGAGGCTAGGGAGCGACTTCTGGTTGAGAGCCTCTTGAAACTGACGGGCGAGCACAGCGTGACACACCATGAACCCCTTCAGCCAGTAGTGATGCAGTCCGTCGAGTCCCGGACTTTTCCAGTTCGGGGCTCTACGGACCGCCTCAGCTACGTCATCCGGCGTTATGATGACGGGGTCCATGGGCGTAATCCTCGCACACTGACTCGCCACAACTTCCGTCCAAGGGCCCTCGCTGTGGTTTACGGGCTCTGACCACAGGCCACGCCAAAATGCGACAGTGTTAGCCTGGTCCGGTCCTGGGCCCGCTCCACATACCTCTGGTCGCTCCAATGATTTGTAGAGCCTCTTCTGATCACTCTGGAAGAGACGATTCTGGTTGAACCGCCTTGACCTCTCAGTAAATCGGCGAATCCGCTTCCCCCCAAGCAGCAATCTTTTGCTTCAGGTCGTCTATGCGCTCCGTTAGTTTCTGCGTGATATCCGGCTGGGACAAACTGATATTTGTCCCAGAAAACGCCATTCTAACGGTGCGCACAACCCTCGGTCTATTATTACCCGACCTGAAGCTTATCAGTCTGCCGATAAGGGCCCTTGCCTTTGCGATACGGTCCTAAATTCTTTTTCTCCAGGCTGGGATGGCGCTACTTTGTTTAGTAGCGCGTCCAGCCATGGTAAGTCTGGCGCCAATAATACGGCAAGCTGCCACTGCGGCGCCAAAAAGAACTGAGTACGTCTCGCAAAGGTCCCGGCTGGCTTCCAAATAGGTTACCAGCATTGGGTTAAGAGCCCTCACGACAGCCCGATTTCGCTTGCTTAGAGGTATGCGGGGAAGTCGCGGTCGATTTTCGAGAGGCATGCTGCGCGTTTCCAAAATCGCCTCTTCCAATATACTCCTCATTTGCTCTAGTTCGTGGGAGACCATTTCATCATCATCTGAATCAACCACAACTGGAAGATCCATGGCGGCTTCTACGCGTGGCAGCTGGTCTGTCGCCTGAGGAGCCGCATCCCCAGCCGTAGCCAATTCATTCGATGAGGGAATGGCCTCACGTCGTAGTCGTTCGAGCTCGGCATCATCGAATATTTTCGAGCGCATGATGTACCGAACTCGGTCTGCCAGGTTTTGTTCCGTGACGGGAATAGACGGCTCCAGCTCAGCAAAAAAGCAATGCATCCGAGCCCGATACGCTATCCCCGCAGTTTCTTCCCCTTTCGCCCTATAGTACGCCCGCAATGCGTTTGCGTTCATATCCCTTGTCCAACGCATGCGGCGCACTCCACCAGCGGCGGATGCCGCTTGCCGAGTCCGAGAGGACCCTGCCGACATCAAGCCGTCTGGTGGGGATGATGGATGCGGGGGGCTGTTAGGTGATCTTGCAGCTCCTCGCGCTCGGCTGGCGGCCCGCATGCTGCCGCGTCCAGCGCCAGCTCCAGACGCGCCCCGGCGACCCCCCAGGCAGCGGCCCTATACGTTTTCCAATCTTATCCATCATCCATTTTCGGGCGCCAATTAGCGGGAGACGCCCAGGCCCGGCACCGTTTCATTGTATCATTGTACGGCCGTAAGCACAAACGGGCCTTTGCACCCTGAGTACTGCCGAGGCACGGCGCTCACACCTCTTGGCAAGGCGCTGACTGACTGCACCGACGTAGCAGTTTTGTCACTTAACTGTTTCGTCAGCGGGCGATGGGGTCGTCACTTCCCTACGCCTTTATATATTATTATTATTTTTGGGGTATCTATATAGTTTTCTCATCTGGTTGGGATGTATAAATATATAATTATAAACGAAAATGAAAAGATAAACATACAAAAATATCAATAAAATAAAATAAATATGAAAATACATAAATAAATAAAAGCCCAACCAGATGGAAGCCCTCGGCAGGGGAGACCAAACGGCCGAGGGTTAGGGGGAAAGGGAAAGAAACCGGCGGACGATGCGGGCGGTATCGAGGAGCACCGCCTTCTGCATTTGAGCCTGGAGCGGTCCGCCACGTAGTCCCAGCCGCCTCAGATGACCCGAGAGGCTGACTGGGATTAGCCCGTTTGCAGAGACGACTACAGGAATAATTTCGGTCGGCAGACCACCCCACATGTCGGTCACCTCGTGAGCCAGGTCCAGATATTTTGTTTGCTTATCTGTTTCGGCTTTCACGAGGTTCTCGTCACACGGAATGGTAATGTCGACCAAAAATATCCTTGACTGTGCCCGGTCCATCAGCACAATATCAGGCTTATTCGCAAGAATAGTCCTGTCTGTGATGATGGCCCGGTCCCAATAGAGCCTGGCGCGATCATTTTCGAGCACGGCTTCCGGCAAGTACTTGTAATACGGCAACTTCCGATCCACGAAACCGTATTTCAGAGCGAGCTCCTGGTGTAGAATTCTGGCTACTAGGTTGTGCCTGTGAGTACCAGATAAGGGATGGGATGGCGACAAGCTCGACAGATGTCGATGGTGCCATCCTTTAGGATGTATCTCCGATAGTTGTTGGTCTTAATAACCTGATCCTGTATTGCACAGACAAAACCCTCGGTTTCCCCGAAGAGGTCACCAAAGCGTAGCCAGTGGAGAGAGGTTACTGTGTCTACGAAAGGCCCATGTAGAGACTTGTAGAACCTCCCGTGGAGCTCCTTCTCCTTCCATACGGTCTCCCGGTCGGAAATTGTCTGCACTGCCGGGTCTTGCCATTGCTCGTTGGCTAAGGATAGAGGGGTAAGTCCTTTATCACAAGAAATGACGTCCTTATAGAATGGATCATCCGATCTCGCCAGGAAGTAATTACGGAGGCTGCACACTTCGCGATTATGCATGGTGAGCGCGCTCAAGAAGCCACGCCCACCATGCTTTCGCGGCAAGTACAGCCTCATTACCGACGATCTCGGATGATGCATCCTGTGGGACGTCATGGTAGTGCGGACTTTTCTATCCAGGGCGTTAAGTTCAGTCTGAGTCCACCTGAGTATGCCAAAGGTATACATGAGGACAGGTATGACCCAGCCGTTATATGCTTGTGTCTTATTCACACCGGACAAAAGGCTGTTAAGCACTTTGGTCAAGCGTGCATAAAACACGTCGCAAACTGACTGTTTCATACCAGCCTCATCGATACCAATGTTCTGTGACATACCCAGGTATCGGTATGTTTCAGCCTCGGAAAGGGTCCTTAAGTTGACGGGCATAGATAAGTCTATGCCCTCAGAGTTAGCAACCCTACCCCTCTCAACATGGAGGACCGCACACTTATCCGTCCCCAGCTCCATTCCAATGGAATTGCTAAATTCACAAGTGATGTTTAGCAGTTCCATAAGATGGGAGCGACTGGAGGCGAATAACTTGAGGTCATCCATATAGAAAAGGTGGGTCACTTTTGTCCCTCCTTTCCGTAGCTGAAATCCCCTCCCGGAGCCCTCCAGTAAGGTACTGAGAGGGTTCAGAGAGAGGCAGAACCATATTGGACTCAGACAATCGCCCTGGAAGATACCCCTTCTTATCCTTATGTGGTTCTCCGCAGCCATCATCCGCTCGCCCAGATGACAAAGGATCGTACTCCACTGCCCCATACACTGCTCGAGGAAGTCTCTAACACAGCTGTACAGTTCGAGGACTCTCTTTAGCCATGTATGGGGCACCGAGTCGAATGCCTTTCTGTAGTCTATCCAGGCGGCGGAGAAGTTCCGACGGTTGCGTTTCACCACTTTGCCAATGACCGCGTCAATGAGGAGTGGTTCCTTGGTTCCACGACCGCCGCCCCGACATCCATTTTGAGCGCGCGACATCACCTGATTTGAGTCCAGGTGACGAGTGATTCTCGCGCTCAAAATGGATGTTAGTGTCTTATATATGGTCGGTAGACATGTGATGGGGCGGTATTTGCTCGGGTCTGTGGTACTCTGGCCTTTAGGAACCAAATGGGTGATCCCAGTAGTGAAGAGGCTCGGGAGCGACTTCTGGTTGAGAACCTCTTGAAACTGTCGGGCGAGCACAGTGTGACACACCACGAACCCCTTCAGCCAGTAGTGATGCAGCCCGTCGAGTCCCGGACTTTTCCAGTTCGGGGCCCTACGGACCGCCTCAGCTACGTCATCCGGCGTTATGGTGACGGGGTCCATGGGCGTAATACCCGCACACTGACTCGCCACAACTTCCATCCAAGGGCCCTCACTGTGGTTTACGGGCTCTGACCACAGGCCACGCCAGAATGCGACAATATCAGCCTGATCCGGTACTTGGCCCTCTCCACATACCTTTGGTCGCTCTAATTATTTAGAGAACCTATTCTGATCACTCTGGAAGAGACGATTCTGGTTGAACCGTGTCGACCTCTCGGTATATCGCCGAATTCGCTTTCCCCAAGCAGCGATTCTCTGCTTCAGGTCGTCTATGCGCTCCGTCAGTTTTTGCATTATATCCGGCTGGGACAAACTAACATTTGTCCCAGCAAACGCCATCCTGACGGTGCGCACAATCCTTGGCCTGGTATTGCCTGACCTGAAGCATATCAGTCTGCCGATGAGGGCCCTAGCCTTTGCGATACGTTCTTCAATTCTTGTTCTCCAGGCTGGGATAGCACTACTTTGTCCAGTAGTGCGTCCAGCCGTGGAAAGTTTGGCGCCTATAATACGGCAGACTGCCAGTGCGGCGCCAAAGAGAATTGAGTCCGTCTCGCAAAGGTCCCGGCTGGCTTCCAAATAGGTCACCAGCATTGGGTTCAGAGCCCTCACGACAGCCCGATTCCGCTTGCTTAGGGCTATGCGGGGAAGTCGCGGTCGATTTTCGAGAGGCGTACTGCGCGTTTCCATAATCGCCTCTTCCAATGTATCCATTTGCTCTATTTCTAGTTCCTGGGTGAATGTTCCATCATCATTTGAATCAGCAACCACTGGGGTATTCTCGGCGGCATCCACGTGTGCGGGTTGTTCTGCAACTTGTGGCACCGCACCCTCAGTCGTAGCGTTTTCATTTGATGAGGGAACAGCCTCACGTCGTAGCCGTTCGAGTTCGGCGCCATCAAATATATTTGAGCGTAAGATATACCGAACTCGGTCTGCCAGGTTTTGCTCGGTGACAGTAATAGATGGCTCCAGCTCAGTAAAAAGACGATGCATCCTAGCCCGATACGCGAAACCTCCAATTTCTCCCCCTTTCGCCCTAAAATACGCCCGCAATGCGTTTGAATTCATATTGATGGTCCATCGCATGCGGCGTACTCCACCAGTGGCGGGTGCCGATTGCTGGGCCTGCGAAGACCCTGCCGACACCAAGCAAGCTGGTGGGGATGATGGATGCGAGGGGCTGCTGGGTGGTCGTGCAGCACCTCGCGCTCGGCTGGCGGTTCGCATGCTGTCGCGTCCAGCGCCAGCTCCAGACGCGCCCTGACGACCTCCAGGCAGCGGCCCTTTGCGCAATCTTATATGTTCCATCATCCATACAGGGCGTCATTTAACGGGAGACGCCCAGACCCGGCGCCGTTTCATGGTGAGGCCATATGCACAAGCGGGCCCTTGCACCATCAATTTTTGCCGAGGCACGGCGCTCACACCTCTTGGCAAGGTGCTGACTGACTGCGCGGACGTAGCGGTTTTGTCACATAACCGTCACGTCAACGGGCGATGGGGTCGTCACTTCCCTACGCCATTTATTATTATTATTATTATATTTTGTACATATCTATATTCTCCCTATTAAAGAGGTAACTTAAAACCTAATCACACGGGCCGAAGCCAAGCGTGAGCAGGCGCTAGGTGATGGTGTAAGCAGAGGTGACGGATGACGTGATGAGGAATTTGCGTGTGAGTCGGCATGTGTTGAGAATGACAGCTTTCTGCAGTGTGTGAAGTGTGTGTTGGGGTACTTGCAAAATATCTAGACTGCGTTGTAGGCTTTTAGGTATAACTCCGGTAGATGAGATAACTATTGGGACTATATGGATGGTTTCTGCTCTCCATTGACGCTTGAGTTCTATAGCTAAATCTTGATATTTTGTAAGTTTTTCAGCTATGGTGGATTGAATGTTATGAGTGTTTGGTATGGCAATGTCAATAAGGTAAGTAGTTTTGTTATTTTTGTCATACACTGTGATATCAGGCCTATTGAAGTGAATAGTTTTATCCGTGATAATGGTCCTGTCCCAGTAAATTCTATGATTATTGTTTTCTAATATGGTGTCCGGCTTATATTTGTAATATGGTGTCATTTTTTGTATGAATTTAAATTTAAGGGCTAGATATTGGTGTATTATGGAGGCAACCTGGTCATGCCGATGCTTATAGTCGGTTTGTGCAAGGGCTCTACAGGCGGATGTTATGTGTTGTATGTTTTCGGGGCTAGAGTGGCAATGTCTGCAAGTATCAGTGGGGAGGTTAGGTGCACGTATTATATGTCTCTGGAAGTTTCGGGTATCGATGATCTGGTCCTAGACCGCTAACATGAATGCCTCCGTCTCTGGGAAGAGTTCACCGCGCCTCAGCCAGGCGTTCGACGCTTTTTTGTCGACATGTGACAGCTGCAGGTCGTGGTAGTGCCTTCCGTGTAGGGACTTCTGTTGCCATGAGGCCATCTTCTCTTTTACGTCAGTGATCCGTTCACTACGTTGTGTGTTTCGGTCCGCGAGGTTAAGTGGTGTGAGGCGTTTGTCGGCTAAGGTTACTATTTCGTGGAGAAGTGAGTGTTCTGAGCGTTTATGGAAATATTGTCGAAGGGATTTGATTTGTTTATTGTGCAAGTTGAGGACATCTATTATACCTCGTCCTCCCTCGGATCTTGAAAGAGTCATCCTTTGCACGCATGATCTAGGATGGTGCTTGCGGTGAGTCGTTAGAGTGGTATTTATAATACGTTGCAGATTGATAAGGTCGCCTTGAGTCCAGTTTATTATACCAAACGAGTATGTCAGTATGGGGATTGCGTAACTATTGATTGCTTTTGACATGTTGCGGGAGTTGAGTTGAGACCGGAATATACTATTAAGCCGATGTTTAAATTTCTTTTTGAGACCTTCTTTTGTTTCCTTTTGATGGATCTGTCGCGCTTGTTGGAAACCTAAGTATTTATATGAGGCGTGGGGTTCTAGAGGTTCAATCGTATCTCCTGTTACTAGGCTATAGCTGTTGGGGTTAATTTTTCCATTTTTAACCGAGAAAGTTTTGCACTTGTCAATCCCAAACTCCATATGAATGTCGTTTGAGAAAGATTGGGTGATGTCTGCGAGGCGATGCAATGACTGTGTAGTGTTACTGTATAGTTTTATGTCATCCATGTACATCAGGTGTGTTAGAGTGGTGTGTTTGTGTGGTGTGATGATAGAGTAACCATAATTGGTTTTGTTCAGCATTTGCGAGAGAGGGTTTAATGCGAGACAGAACCATACAGGGCTAAGCGCATCCCCTTGGAAGATTCCTCGACGTATTGGAATTTCTGACGTTTCTATACAAGACGTTCCTATGGTTTTTAATGTAGTTGTCCAGTGCTGCATTGATTTTTCAAGAAAATGTATAAGTTGTGGGTGAATTTTATAGTGTTGAAGTACATGTAGGAGCCAGCTGTGCGGTACAGAGTCGAATGCTTTTCGGTAGTCAATATACATTGTATTGATGTTCTTCCTTTTAGAAATAGCATGTTTCATTGCTACGGAGTCTATTATGAGTTGCTCTTTACATCCCTGACTACTTTTTCGAGATCCTTTTTGTTCTTCAGTAAGGATGTTGTTTGTGGTTATATGTTGGTGTAAGAGTTCGGCTATACATGCTGTAAGTAGTTTATAAATGGTTTGGAGACATGTGATAGGTCTGAATTTGGCAGGATTTTGATGATCTGCGTCTTTCGGAATCATGTATGTGAGGCCTTGTGTAATGTATCGGGGCATTATGTCTGGCTTTTGAATAAAATCATTGATATGGTTATGAAGTAGAGGGTGAATTGTTGAAAGTTTCTTATACCAGTAGTTATGTATACGGTCACTTCCGGGTGCTTTCCAGCTATGGGTTTTTTTTAATATATGCACAAATACTTCCAGAGGTATTTGTTCAATTGCCATTGGTGTGATAGAATCAGTTACTTCGGAATCTGATTTCAGCCATTCTGCCTCAGTGTTGTGGTGAACCGGTATAGACCAAATACCAGACCAGAAGCTATGTAATTCATTGGCGGGTGGTAATGGTGCATCTTGCCTATTTCTATTTGTGTCGTGTTGTGTGTCTGAAGTCAGGCTCCTATAAAATTGTTTTTCATTATTGATAAACTGGCTATTTTGTGACTTCCTAAGTGTGCAATTAAGGTACCTTTTTAATCTGCTGGATGCCGCATTCAGTTTTTGTTTAAGTGTGTCAAGGAATTGTTCATCGCTTAAATTGGGTTCTTCGTGCTGGGAATGTATTCGGTATTTATTTTTTATTGCTTCCACTGAAGTGGTGAGTCTATTGCTTCTATTGCCTTTGGTATATTCTGTTAGCCTTCCAATGTCTCTTCTGAAATCCAATATCTTTCTTTTTAACCTTTTCTGCCAAGCAGGTTCTTTATTTCGACTTTGGGTAGGTATTATGTTTATGTCTCTGACTTTGGTTCCGTTAATTATAGCTACTGTGTACGCTACGCAGTAAATTATGGTCTGAGTGGTCTCAAAATCCTGCTCTCTCGATATATGATTTGGTAATATTTTAGTGTTTATAAAATCTACAATTTGTGCCAGCCTTTTAGAAGTTTTTTGTTTTGGTATATAAGGTCGTTTAGTTGGGTTGGTATTCCGAAATTTGTCTATTGCTATTCTAAACAGTTCCTGGATTTTTTTCGCGTCATTATTTTCTATTGCTTGTTTTCTTTGAGGTTCAGAGGCTTGAGTGGATATCACTGATTCGTCAGGTTGTGGTTGTAAGGTTAAGTTAAGTGTATGCACGGGGGTGTTACTTTCTATAACGAATGGATGAACGTCGACTTCTTGTGAGTTTTCTGTTTCGGGTGATGAATGTGATGACTTATTTTCCATATTGTCTCGTCGGGAATTCCGGTTGCTTGCTATATTTTCGCGTATCTTTTGAAGTCTTTGGTCATTAATCATTTTATTGTTCAATATTACTCTGAGCTGATCTGATATTCGTTGTTTACTTACACCTGTTAACTCAGGGTGTTCTTCTATGACTGCTTGATGGAGGGGTCTACGGTAAGCTGATTTATTTTCTCCAAGTTTGGTGATTTTATAGTAATTTCTCACAATAGATTCGTTTTGGTCAGCTGTCCATCGTCTTCTTTGTGTCAATCCTTGCTGATTGCTAAAATGTGGTTGCATGTGTGATTGCGTGATCGAGTCGGTTTGTATATGATTGGTATTACTGTGTGTTTGTTGTAAGTATACTGCAACTTCGTTCCTTATATGATCTAATGTTTTTTGGGGAAGTAATTTATTTCTAAATATAGCTCTGCATTGATCTCCCAGCCTTTGTCTCGATGCCTGCATCTGCGGATATTTATTAGTGAATTCTTTATGTAGATGATCGAGGTATATTTTGTTAGTATTTAATTTAGTGGCTATAAGGTACGTGCGCCAGATGAATTTATTCATTTCTTCTGTCCATCTTTTGCGCGCACGATTTCTGTCTGGGGCGGGTGCAGGTTCAGTGGCTACAGCCTCCTGCACAACGTCCTCAGACATGGGTGATACAGAGTCTGATCTCGTTGAAGTCTGGTATGAACGTGGAGATGAAATAGATGACTCAAATGAATGAAAAGGTGAGGGTGTCGATGAGATTATATCGCTTAGCATGTCGGAGTCCGTATGTGTCGCTTGGGTCGTTCGACGGGTTGCTTTCGTCACTCGGGGATTCTTCGCACCCCTAGGCCCAGTCTCAGGCTGGCTTCCGTCATAACCAGTGCTGCTACTGGGTCCGCCGAGCACTTGGGGCCGTTTACTTCTTGTTAATACCATAATTATTCTCCATTTGGGTTTGGGTGTGGGACCGTTAGTTGGGGAGGGTTAGCAAAGATGTTAGTGGTTAATAAAATGTACCTCCTGTATCGGTAATTATACAGGGTATGGTCAAGTTCGTAGTGACCGCTGTTAGGTTCATGCCTCCCCTTAAGCCCCCCCACCACGTCAAGGTGGTCCCCGGGGGGGGGTTATTATTATTATTATTATTTTCAAGAAACTTGAGCGTACTTTTAGTTTTTGTGGTTTTCACGGGCTTTACAAATACATATTTCGTAAAAGCATCCACGACAGTTAACATGTAAACATTCCCCTTCCTGCTCTTCACAAAGGGACCTAGATGATCTATATGGATTGTGTGTAAAGGAATTTCAACCTTCTCAATAGGAAACAAATGGCCCGTTTTTTGTTTAGCAGCGTTCTCCTTATTGTACGCACACTCTAAACAGGACCCTACATATTTTTTCATAAACTGGCGCATTTTAGGGAACCAGAATTGTGATTGAA